TCATTCAAGCGTCAGCTTGATGATGTCCTGGAAACCGTTACATTTCAACATCCAACTACACAACATATTCTCCTGTGCTCGTCAACAAATTAATTTACTACTTTACTTTCATGGACTAACTGTGATATTGTGATCACAGTTAGTTCGTCATGCGGAATGAAATACAGATCAGTATATATCAGGCAAGGCAAAGAATGTCCCTGAAGTTGGTTCCATGTACGAAAATGTTGATAGTTCACCTGTGACCTGTTCCTTTTTGGTTCGGAGTCGGGCGAGGTAGGGTATAATGGAGTTTTTATCTATGCGTATGCCAGAGGGTGGATGCTAAAATGAGGAGCGTGTGGACGGATGGGAACAAGATGATGCGTCATGTATCCTGGCTTTTCTAGCTCCTCTAGATGAGCTAGCTGCCTTTGACCCATCAACCCGACCATATCTCCGGATTTCGATCATTTGCCCTCTAACGTTGGCGATAACAAGCCACCACCCATCCTCAGAGAGACGTACTTTTTGAGGACAATAGGTTACATTGGTGGTTGACAGATCTATATTAACGAAATTGTTTTGCCATGTGCAGCGTGAATTTTGTTGTCGATGAAAGAAAAATAAATCAATTTTCCTGATGCTGACGAGGCTACTGATCATCCGTGAACGATGTGGCGTGTGACAGAGTTGGTAATCTAACCATACTCTGAGCCCTTAATTGTGCAGCCACCTTTGAACCTGATACATTTTACCAAGAACTTGAAGCAATGATTTCCCCGAATAAATTTGAATAAGGCCAGTAGTGTCATGCAAAATGTCTGCTGCAGCGACATTCCTTTCGCATATCATCAGTTACTTCATGCGAATTACAAATGGACATTATATATGTTCATGGGGTATGGTGACAAATGGATTCAAAGGCGAGATTCATCCAACTTGTTCATAAGACACGGTAACTAGTTTTCCAACACTTTTTCTCCTAATCCGAATACAGATGAGTGGATATGGTTAGTGAATGAGTGTGAATAACACGTTAATGTGTGTGTTTCAGTAGATATAAGGCGGAGAGGGAAAGTCAGAACACGGTTATGCGAAGACAGGAAGTTAATAAGCCGATTGAATAATACTGACGAGTCTCCACAACAAAAGTTAGAATTCATTATCTAAATAAAGGTATGAAATGGGGGGTGGGGTGGAATTGGTGTGGGTGGGTGGATGGTTTGAGTGAATAGGGCAGGGAGAGGAGAACAAAGGTCACAACGATGAGGTGATGGGTAAAGGTTAGGGTGAGGTGGGGGCGGAGTAACTCCACGGTAAAGCCATTGCGACCACCATCTGCTTCTGAGCGCACAAAATCGGGTTCGTTCTTCGTATGGTTACGGACTCCGCGAAATTTAGGTGGTAGGGTCGTTTTGGACGGTAGACAACTCGAAATGCGTCTGTTGGATTCACTCGATGGCCAGTCTTCATGTGTTTGCACGACACTGTTGGCCTTTTTCATATTTTACCAACTCTCTTCATATCACGAAGTGAGCACTCGTTGAAACGAATGGTTTAATGGCTGTAATTTTATCTGAGTGTCTCGATCAATTGTCTGCCGGAAGTGAAGAGTGCACGTGTGAGAATCAGGTTGGTTTGAGACCGGGTCGAGGTTCTGTCGACCATATTTTCACCCTTCGCCAAATTCTGGTGCACCGAAATTCTTTTCGTAGATCCACCATCTCTGTTTTTCGCGATTTGAAATCGGCTTTTGACCTAGTCGATCGTTCTAAACCTGGCGGTACTTTTCCCCCAAAGAATGTACCCGAGAAGTTTGTTTCATTTTTGCGATTTCTGTGTACAAACTGTCAAAGCCGAGCCCGAGCTTACGGCTTTTTTCCGCCCGAACTCACCGCAGAAAGCGGTGTTCTTCAGGGTTGCCCTCTCCTTTTCTATTGAACCTTGTTATAGATTTCATTATGGAAACAGCCTTATCCTGCTGCGCTGTGGTGTGGTATCGAGTTGCTTCAGAGTGGTAGACTCTGATCTGAATTATGCAGACAACACTGTACTACTACTTGAAGAACCGGATAATTTGCAAACTTTTCGGGATAGTTTGACTGCCACGTAGCCATGTTCGGTATGCGTTTTGCACCTTCGAAGTGTAAAATGCTACTACAAGACTGGGTTGGTTCGGCACCCAGCCTCACTCTAACTGCGGAATTAATAGAGCACGTGGATAAGTTTTTTATTTGATCAGCTACATCTCACCCGGTGAATGCGTCACAAATGAAGTATCGGCACGCATACAGAAGGCTTGGTTGGCATTTGCTAACTTGAGACATCTGTGGCGCCGTCGCGACATCCGGCTATCTGTTAAGGGTCGAGTGTATGCGGCAGCAATTCGGCCAGTTCTGCTATACGGTGCAGAAAATTGGTCATTAAGAAAAAAGGATGACGATAGATTGTCGGTGTTCGAACACCACTGTCAACGCAGCATTGCACAAATCTGACGGGGTAACCAGACAAGCAATGCTGAGATTAGGCGTAGAGTTTTAGGCAACCGTGGTCGCCAATGGGAGCAAATGATTGACTTCCATAGATTTCGTTGGTTGGTGCATGTGTCGCCAAATAGTTTGCCACGACACTTGCTGTTTGCCGAGACAAATATTGAGTGGAAAAAGGTCAAGGGCGGTCAAACCGACACCTAGCATGACAGTATGAAAACCTTAGCCGGGATACTCGGTTACATAGGTTCCGTTAGGCTTCCTGGTTGGGGACCCCAGATGATCGTAACCAATGGTCAGATACACTGATTGATACGGCTGCGTGTCGCACTCATGCTCGTGCATCTACACATTATCCTTCCAACCTTAGTCCATGTAAATTCCATTTGCTTTTGCTCTCTCTCTCTCTCTCCGTTCGTCTGAATATTCCATTACTATACATTGTAGGAAAAACACACAGTAAGGAAGGAGCTCGTTTGCGGTGATTCATCTGCAGACTGATACGTCATAATTTATGTCAAAATGTTTAGTATGGTGGNGAAATGGGAAAATACATAGTCAACATTTCAGTTCCGTGCCCGGGTGTTGCTCACACATGCACATTGGTTTTTGTCATTCGGTACGTGTGGAGGTGCCTTGGGGTGGGGGTTGACTATGCCAAGTGTAGTGTTGGCCCTGGGAAAACTAAGTGTTGTTAAGTATTGTTTTATGTAGAAGGACTCCGATCGTTTTCACGATGGTCTTCTACTCTTTTATGCAAACGGACAGCCAGAATACAGCAACCAAAACCGGCGCACAAAGGTGCGCGGTTAATGATTGAAAAACTGAAACGGAACTGAGCCCAGTGGTCACGCAATATATAACATCTCCATTTAACCGCTGTTTACCTTCCCACAGGGAGATCACTAAAGTATATGCTATCTGTGGGAACATGTTCCACACGACTGCTCAGAAAGCCTCAGTATGGTCCGGGTGGGTGTTTAGGGTTACGGCTGGCCACTCTTCCCTTGCTCCCATACGACCAAGCGTCTCGAATAGCCTCTGCTGAGGAAGCCCTACTCACCGCCTTCTCGTGGCCGAGGTGTTTTCCCACCAAAGTGAGTGGACAAAAGGCCGACATCTTGGGCTATAACCGAGTTGGGGGACCACTGGTAG